CAGGTTCATTTCAATCGTCAATTTTATATAAGTTTCATGTATGTATACATGCACTACATTTAAAAATATGTCTTTTAAAAATACAAAGAAAAGAACTTTCAAATGCCTCTATTGAAAGTTTTTCATTTTAATTCAATATAGATAATCAAATTCGCCAGTCCTTATTAAAGTATATATGAATCAAAATTTATTTCTAAAATAGTAGGAAGGATAAAGAAGGCAATAACGCAATTAGTAATCATTAGAACGTAGTAACATTCACAATACTGACATTTTTGACAAAATCTATCCTTCTTTCACAATTTATCGATAAAATATCGACAACAACTACACATCGAGTATATAACCAGAAATGGAGACGAAATAAGGACCATCCATCCTTAGCAACTCATCAGGCAAATGGCTCTTATATAACTTTTAAATACCAAGTCTCGTTAGCGCTGAAATCGCAAATTAGAAAGCTGAAATAGTACAGCGCCAACTACTGACCTGTGTGTACGTCTCCGTATATTCCAAAAATATTCTGTATTTATTGTAATAAAGACAATATTTGTAACAATGGGCTGCAGTACCTTTCGGTTGGTGTGGGAAAGTTGACGACACCGGTCAATTGTTTCGAATTCGGGCTGGCCAATCGGAGCGCAGTTTGATTTGGCAGAATAATTTTCAAACAAATTACATGACATTTCGTCTTCTTATCTTCGTCTTATTTCTAGTTATATACTCGATACAACTACACGACTATTTAAAATTTTATGAAAACTAGCAACCCCGCAAATGTCATTTTACTCCATTCAAAAAAGACAGACTATAGTGCGTATGATTCTGGCACTGGCCCTAAGTCTGCTAATCACTGGTCATTGTAATTGCATTGTGACTCCACCGAGGTGACATTGCAACTATGATGATAATATATGTTATTCTGCTAAAAACTAAGTTGCAATGGCAGTTGAGACGAGTGTCAGTGGAATGGCAGTGATGATATTCATTCATTCCATCCCTATCAATGTTGACTTACTCTCTCTTAAAAACTATACCACCGTGGAAAGTCGATGCATATTTTAATTTGTAACTCGTTTAATGCAATTTAGTTTTTAAATCAAATATATACATGGCGTTCCACGACTATGTCACACCGAACGAAAGTACGTTAAATACCGTAGATAGAAAATTTTAAAAACAATTCGAACTGCTTTCAAAGATTTTTAAATAATCACCTGTTTGAACCGGGAATCGACGCCCCGAAATGTGAAAAAAACAGTGTAATGTTACTATACTGATCGAAAACCTCAATCATAAGGATTGTTTTATTCTAAATAACAGCATCTTAAATAAAAGGAAGACAATGGAATTTAACATTTAATTAAAATGATTAGGTACATTTTGCTGCAACTTACAATAATTTTAAGTTGCCAGAATTTGTATACTACAACATACAAACTCTCACTCTTGATAATTTCGATTGCGATTTATTTATTTATATTTTCATTGCGAATGTTTAAAAGACTAGATCTAAGTTCTGTTTGTAACTCGTGCACTCTCACACCGGTTCCTGTAAACTAAATCTTTTACAGGTTCATTTGCCTGACCAAAATTTCGAATTAAATGTTTTTCTCAACTTTCATGGTCTTCCTTTTATTTAAAATGCATGTTCTTTCAACAGAACAATCCTTATGATTAAGGCGATTATCACACTGCACCGCGCCCCGCGACGGAGCGCGACACGTTGAATCACGCGCGCGGTGGCGGAGACGCTCACTCAGACGATCTGCGTCAACGCGCTGTTTAATCTAGCGGCCCCGCGTCACTTAAAGTACTCGCTTCGCAGTTGATAGCCGTAGTGTATATGTGGCCGAGATCCTTCTTTGACAAGAATGGTTAATAATACAGAAATCATTCAGGATACTGCAGTTATATTGTCTGTTTGGTCTTTATACTGTCTTACTATAAACAAAAACGTTTACTCAAATAAAAACACACCGAAGATATTGGATTCATCCCTTTTTACGAACCAGATCGATAAATGGATAATTTTAGCTCCATTACAAAGATTTAAGAAAATATGAAGATAAATTTGGTCGATTTTCAATAGCAAATATAAATTTATCGACGTCGAGATCTATTGTTGAAAATTGAACATGTCCTAACCTTAGAAATCTGCGCGGTAGTGCGGAGCGCAGTGTGTCATACCCCGCGACTCGCCGCGCCCCTCCGCGCGGGGACGCGGTAAAACCGCGCAGAGAAGCGGTGTCAGTACGTTCGACGCCGCGTGTTTTCCATACAAACTGAGGTACTTCAGTACAACGTTGAAAAACGCAGAAGTGTAGTGTGATAATCGCCTAAGGCTTTCGATCCATATCGTAAAAATAGAGGTTTTTTTTTCACATTTAGCGGGTTCGATTCCCGGTTCAGACAGGCGATTATTTACAATCTTTGAATTGTTTTTGAAATCAAAATGAAGTCATCTTTCAGCATTTTTTTTCTGTATACGGTATTTAAGGTACTTTCCCCCCGTGTGGCATAGCCGTGAGACGCCCTATATAATATTAGTAGGCTACACCTTCGAGTTACTATTGAAGAGCAGAATATTAAAAAAATGCAATGGCAGTTGAATAGGTAGCTCGATGGCTAGCCACTACTCTGGACTTTTAGCAGAATATCAAACCTACAAAATTCTGCCTTTGACACTCAATCGACATATAACTGAGATGATTTGAAATTAGTAAGTAGACTTAGGACCCAGATGATTGGCCCGGTTTCGCTAATTTGTTATGGGACCGATACATTACTTTTGAACCGTGAATTGGGATTGACGTACACCTACGCCATTTGCAACAATGATCGCAACGACATAGTCTACATTACATTGCTACAATATCGTCTACTCAATGTCAAATTTCGTATATAAACAACTTATAAATGCAAAATTCTTTATCTTCAGGCAACTCAATTCTACACAATTCTACTCTAAAACAAACTACCATGCAAAGAGAAAGCTACGAGTACAGGAATGCGAGATGGTTCTAGAATTCAACTCTTATTATAAGATAATATAAGAAGAGATATAAACTACCATGCAAAAAAAAAAGTTACGAGTGAAGGAACACGATATTAAGAACTCACAATTTGGAATTGAATTGGAATGTATAATCAAATAGTAACATACATGATTTTACGTGCCAATCATTACTGACTTACAAGACAAGAGTTAATAGGTACTATGCTCAGAGTTAAGCTACATTTGTCAGGGTTATTTTTTCATCTGTCAGGGTTTTGCTACATTTGTCAAGGTTACATTTTCATTTGTCTGGATGTTGCTATATGTTATTATTTTCATTTGTCAGTGTTTTGATATATTTGTCAGGGTATTTCGTGTAAAATAGATGTACTTGATGATTTTACCCGATGTAAAGCAATGATGGTAAAAGTATGTCAAAAAAATGTCTATTCACTAGCTTTGAATTAGCAATGAGGTGTTTTCTTTTGTAACACTTATTAGGAAGGCGGAAGCGTAATGGGTGGTATAGCTGATATATCCAGTCTATGGCTACATTGTCAGGGTAATGTTACGTTTGTCTGCTCATACAAATCGAGGTCAAGTAAGAGCGTAATCACTCGAACCACATTTAGATTGTACCATCAGAACAGCAAAATAGCAGTCCAAATAGAATTGAAAAATTATCTGGATCAAGTCGGCGTATAAAATGCTAGATTCTAGACAAGCTGGCGTAATTTTGTCGATTATTTTACTGTTTGGTTGTAGCTCGTGTGATTACGGTCTTAAAAAGAATTTTTACCGGTAGTCGGAAATGTACGGATTAATATTTCCCAACTCTAATAGTCAAACCACACCGTTAATAATAATACTGGTGTAGTTTTATTATTCAGAGTTACGCCTGTACAGCATTAAAATGTTTGAATGTTAGTGAACGATCAAGGTATATATATCACGGTTGATTTAATATAAAATTCGTGTCCAAACGTTTTCTACTATAACGTTAATGAGGCATAACCAATCCTAATGTTTTATTTACATTAACTAAATATTCCGTAAAATTTGGCCGCTTAGAAAAGACGACGTAAATTTGTAGCAACATTCTAGAAATTATCATTTTTTGAACATCACAAAAGAGACTATGTAACAGCAGTAGTAACAGCATTCTGAAAATAATTGCTGAAAAAATGGAAGCACCTCTAATGACGCACCTCGTAGATTTAACTCGATTTTTTTATGATACCAAGTGACCGGATGAACAAGTCGTGCGCTTGGTGGTAAGCAACACGCCCGCAGAAGCTGCAGTGCTACTCAGAGTATTAAGTGTGAGGGGCACTGCCACTGCGTCAACCCTGAGACATAAGTTGACAAGCCCATATGCATGTAATTTCGCGAGCACCCTTGCCCTTCAAAACCGGAACTGCTTGGCGACAGAAATAGATAAGGTAGCAGCACTTCCCTGGACTCTCACAAGGAACTCTACCTGCTACTAAATCCAAGTTTCAAACAATGTACACATTTTAAATTAACCTGTTACTAATTTTATACGGATTTCGATTATCCGAAAAATAATTGATTATTATTCAAACAATTATTATTTTACATATTTTGAAATAACACCCATTAAATTCCAAATCCTGAAATTATTGATACATCACTATTGGAATTACAGAAACTAGTAATATTAATTAACGTTTGATCACAAGTTTATACTGAAATTACGTTCGAAAAACTTTACGTTGGGAGACATCGAAAAGTACAGTAGATCCAATCGAGAAGTCCCCAGCAATTGTTCACGAAGTTTGACGAATCATTAAAATGGAACCAAATTTTACGGAGTATAGCTTCAAGTATTTTCTAAACAAAATCTTTTCCCAAAATTGCGTCTTGACACCGGACAGTGATATACTGCAATAAGCGTAACTCGGGAAAAATAAAACTTCACGTAGGAATGTAATATGGACAGCGCAACATTCGTGTTAATGTAACGTGATATAAGACTGACTTCCTCCTCGTAGTCGTCGTCGTCATCGTCGTCCAGACCCTCGCCGGTGTACAGCAGCACGGCACGCGAAACGACACGCTCGCGAATGTAGTGCCCGATTTCGAAGTCCGCTGTGAGTAACGCCTGCCAAACAATTACGGAAGATAAGTACGATTAAGGGGAGTCACTGGAGGAGAAGCGGGAAAAACTGTTTTGCTAGATCAAATGGTTTAAATATTTACTATTTAAATAACGGTTTTACAAATAATATGCGATATACATTGACTTACAATTATATGGACGTCGGGTCCGCGCTAAAAAGTGTCCGCACTTGTAAGGCGCTAAAATCGTATACAGAGCGCGACACTCCGCTTTAGTCTTCATTTGTTCTACGGACAGCGCGATACTGCGATGACATAACAATTTAAATTTCGAATAGGTTGACTTGGGACATTTTTTTCGTGGTTTTTGTATTAGACCCGTCGTCCATTTATTTGTAAGTCAATGGCGATACACAAGAATATTGTCCAAAGAACGTGCTAATTCTTTACACGGTAGGATTTACTTTAACTGATCATTAAATACTGAAAACATTTCAAAGACAGAATGTGTTTTAGAAATTTTCCTATGGAATTAAATTTAAACGGCAAAGTTAACATTAAAGATGTTTCCAGTTCATCATCATCATCATCATATACAGCCCGACTTCACCCACTGCTGGGTATAGGCCTCCAAGTCACTGTGCCACTACCCACGATCCCGTGCCAATCTCATCCAGGTTCGCCCCCCAATTCCAGAATCCAGTTATTAGGTTGAAAATGAAACAAAACTTTTTAGGAGCCTGTGCCCGAAACGTTGGTTTGTTTGAAAAAAATAAAATATTACACAATCGAAGACGTTGTGAGAAACAGTTACTGGACGCATTAACAGAATCATTGCTTTTGCAAACTCGGTAATGTTTAGCACCAACCTGAATATCCGAAGCGAGAGTGGAGTTGGGGTCTTCGGGCATGGCGGGAGGCGAAAAGAAGTTGAAGAACGAGTCGGCCTGCACCGACTTGGTGACGGTGCGCACGGAGCCGCGCGACTTGTGCTTTTGCTTCTTTTTTATTGTTTTCACTGTTACGTTCTTGCCCTTCTTCCAGTTGATTTCGCAGCCCTGAAAAATTTACATATTCAGTATGTGGCGAAAGGTCATGCATATCAGACAAAACTGGACATAGTTATGCAAACTAGAACCAACCCTCAAAATGTCACTTTCGAGATAATTAAGTTTTTGTAAAAACAGTGTGAAGAAATAAATAGGTAAGTTATTTGAGACAAACAACGTGAATTATGTGTAGCATTGGGAATGATATGGGGAAACTATTATATTATATAGCAATAAATAGAAAACATTATGTATCTTTTTATTTAGTTAACGAGAACCATGTTCTAGTTTCCGTAACGAAAACGCATGGATCTGTACTTCAGTACATGTTACATGCATCCATTTAGCATATTTAAAAAAATATATTATATGAAGTTAAGCAGCATGGTTCTTGTTACCTATTAAAAAGTTACTTATTTAGAGTTGGTACCCTGAAGGACTTTCATTTTCTCCGTTTTGGCTTGGAAAGGACACGTCTGGTGTTCTACCTAAATACATAACTCAATTTCACTCGAGGTGTGGGTTGGTTCTTGTTTGCATAACAATGTCCAACTGAAAAGTAATCAAGACTAAACAGTAACATGCCATATTATCACCCGACAAGCAACTTTGGCATCTCATATAAAGGATAGATTTATTTTTCGCTTTTTTTTATTTGAAAGAGAATGTTGTCAAATAAAGATGTCAGTTTTCATTTGGAGATGTGTGATGTCCCCAATTCGCATTTGGCCAGCGTGGTGGGCGATGGCATAGATCTTCTGATTTGAGAAGACCCGCACTGCCGTGACATTTTTAATTTCTCGTTTATCTATAAGTAGTCCGAAATGACCTTTTTCAGAAATAACGTTTGAAAGAAAAAGTTCGAGTTTGTTCGAGTCTTACACGATATGGCATATTTTGTTTTTTTTAAAAAAGCTTCAAAATACCGAGAAATGTCACGTTAATTTTGACTGAATTCGAATTACAAAAATCTATTTAGAAAAATCGCGATTTAACACAATAGTGTATTAATATTCGTACAAAAATCAAACAATTCGAAGGAAACCAGCGTCTGGTGCCACACTGAGGCACCGTTTTTCCAAATGATCTAAAAACGAAGTCTGCAAACATTACAAATTTCTCTATGTAGTTATTGCAGATCGTTATATTACTTTATTATGAGAAAATTATGGACGTCTTTATAGCTCCCAGAGGCTGGCGTGAGATATCGCTTTGTTAATGATTACAATATTTATATTTATTTATCATGAGGTTCTTACTGTGAGTAATAATAATCAATAAAACAAATATAATGGTACATTTTGAAGTAATGTTTTTTTTTACAATTCTACATGGATTTATAATAAAAATCATACCTTGCAAGAATAGATTTCGGGCCCCTCGAACTCGAGTGGGTTCTCGTCATCAGGCTTGCACTTCATGGAATACTCCTTAGTGAGCACTGTGTTGGTGAAGTAGTCATTTGGCAAGAAGTGGAATTCCAGTGTGAACCCGATCGGATCCTCATGCATGTGTACTGCGTAGATAGAAAGATTATCGTAAAATTATTATATTATATTTATACCATTGAAAGGGTTGTAACCCTAACAAGCCGTGACCAAGTACACGGCAGTAAAACAAAAAAATTCCGGTCAAACTTATTTAGAGTCGGGTTAAGAAGAAATGGTAACAAAGAAGCAAGGAGCAAGGCTGTAACAATAAAAAGGTATATACAGAAAATCAGGTACATTAACCTAAAACACTCCCTAACTTGAAGGATATAGAGTTATTAAGTAGACACTTACCCCTAAAAGGGCCGAGTTATACTGAATTGCAGATACGTATTCATAGGTACATATGATAAGACAGTAGACTGTTATACACTTATTAAAATTGACACATGATTTAAATTATATTATAATGATTCTAATTTAGTAAAAGAATCAAAATTAGACGCGATTGAATTTAAACAGCTCCTTCCGCTATCGCGATCGAGCAGGGAATGACGAAGGAACGAAACAAAATCAGAATGTGAGGCAAAAGAACGGAACAATTCAAAATTTAAATTTAAATATGAGGGGCCAGGGATCGGAGAAAGGCGATAAAAGGTGGGATGACGATGCAAGGAGGTCACACCGTCACACCATT